AATACAGAGACAACCCATGTATACATTTAGGCCTAAAACAGAGATTCCCAGAGACAAAACAGCCAAACCTGGACCCGCAGACTATGCCATCGAAAAGGTGAGTCGTCTTTGTGATCACCTCATAATTCTTTCCATTTTATTAATGCATTACATTGTAATGATTATTGCATTATTGCAATGATTGTAGTGGCAGTGCATAATAATGTGCCACAATTATAAGCAATTATTTCGATATCATAGCAAGAATTTGTAACCAAATTATAATTTCTATTTACTTTGATATAAGGTTTGGATCGATAAGACTAACTCTCCAAACGTGACATTCGGGTCGAGACCTTCGCCCTATGCGCTCAGCTTTTAATCGACACACTTCTGGATTATATTTGTAATCATTTAAACAGTTTTATTAATAAGAAAACTAATAAATAAAAATTCTATTATTTTGTAAAATTTGAAAATAATTTACAATTTCATAACACTATTAATGGATCAATTATTTTTAAATATCCTTTGATTATATGTAAACATTTATGAAAAATAAGGGAAACACTTATGAATAAAATAGTTATCAAAATTTTTAATGATTTCTTTCCATTCCTGTAATGGCTTTCAATAACAAAACAATTATCTAAGAAAAGATGACATTTGTATCCAATATTTACAACAAATCCGATATTTTTGTAACAAAAAATTATTTCCAGAACTGAAAGAAATAAAAGTATATTTAATAAAACATTTCAATTGTAATCAAAATAATATTAAAATATACCTTAAATAAAATAGTAAATCATTTTCAATAACCGCCATATTTTTCCTAAACAAATAAAAATGAATCAAATGTTGAATGTATAAATGACAATAATGTAATACCTGTAGAGAAGACATGACATTAGTGGCTAAATTAGACAACTTTCCGGCCACTTGTGTGACGCCATCGCGAACACCTTCTTTGATGTCATACAGATTGGGTCCATTGAAGTTAGACATTGAGGATGCCTTCGAGCTTTGGGGCACCGCTCGTCCAAAGTAGTCATCACTACTGATACTATTAGAGCCCTCAAAACGATTCAGATTTGTTCGCTGTTCGTACTGTTGGGTAACAAAACAATTCATTGAATGCAATGACAAACAAACAGTTCATTGAATGATGGCTTACATCGAGATCTCTTTTGCCACCAAAGAACTGATCAGAAGATATGGCTTTTGCATTACCAAACTTTTTCTG